AGATAACATCTGTGTAATCTTGCGAATAAAATATTGACGAGAGGAGAGGAGCAGGGATCGATTGCGATTCTGCTTCATCCATACCATGCCGCTGCTGCTTGGTGAGCTCGGCCAGCGCAGAAAAGGACAAACAAGGAAGCAAGTATGTATGTATAAACGTATGTACGTACAGGTATAATGTGGTATACTTATATAAAAAATGGTGGGAGGAGTAAGAAATGGCATTGCACATGACATAAGAATTGTATGTTATTGCGAGTAGCAAGTTAAACGATTGAATTGTAAGCTTTGCCACTACAAAGAGCTTTTTATGTCGATCGTTTTCTTTTTGCTCCAAAACAGATAGGTAGATGAAGGATATTATAAGAATTTTTTGAGACTTTGATGAAAATTTTTGCAATGCTTCGTACTGTGACCAAAATACATGAAAAAATAGTTTTAGGGCCTAATTGTGCCACCTTTTTGTTATTTAAAAAATGATTAAAATTAAAAGTTTTCTTCCTTTGAATTTTGCTTATAATTTATTTTTTGTACAACTTGTTGTAAAATAGCCAAATATAGTTTGTTGGGTACTTAATTATCCATCAATCAGTACTGGGTAAATTATCTGAGTTTTATTAAAATTTTGAGTTTGATGTTCCTTATGGGGATCTTTAACCACGCGCAACGATTCTGGTCTAACATCACAAAATAACATTACAAAATGATTATTAATTTAAAAGTTCAGTTGGCTGCTCTAAATCTCACAGTCTGGATAGATTATTTTTTGTGAATGGATTTTGTTACGGATGATGAAAACTTTAATGTTGAAAAAAAATTTTTTTTTAATGTTGACCTTGATTTGGTATATAATTCGATGTTACAACATAAAAAAATTAACATAATTCTGACGATTTATAGTTCACCGTATTGCAACTATTTTTACATTATAGAGTACACCCAAGTATTAGTAATTCTTTTCAGCCAGTGGCCCTAAATGGCAACGTCGAATATTGTTTCTTCTTGAACAATTGTCAACGTTGGTTACATTGGCACGTTGAAAAGGTGATGGCACACTAGGTTGACTATGAAAAGAACAATACTGTAGCTACTCCAAGGTGGATATGTTTCTCTATTGAAAGCTGCATTTTGTATTGATTATTAGGAGCTGTGGTTTTTTTAACAATCTCTTATCAATGCTTTAAACGTAGTTAGCAAACACCATCTTGCTTAGTGCAAGCAAAGAACCTTTTGACAGATAAGTAATAATAATTGTTTATTTTTAAGAGCTCTAGTCTGACAACTTGATACTTTGTGTGCGTATGATTTTCTTGTTTTTCAGAATGATGTATATGTAAAATATAACTGCAGCTATTTTGTGTTGCAAGGCATGAGTTTGAAGTTAACCCACATGTCTTCATTCATTATTTATTTATGATGACAATGGAGCAAATGTCAGAGAAGTTCATGGATATTTGTAAAATTCATCACATTTTGTTTATTCACCTTGAAGTAAGCATAACCAATAAAACTCAATAAATTTTAAAAATATCTCAAGAGTACATTGACAAACAAGTATTTTAGAGTCCTTTACGCTTCAAACCGATATACAAGCTGCACCCTCTGTATCAGATGTTTAACAAAAGTTTTTGTACGTCATTTTCAAAAGTACAATATTTATTATGATTTTCATATTTGAACTGTTATTTCAACTTACAAAATGTTTTTCTACTTCTCCTAAGTATTTCATGTTATTTGTATGAATAAAAAAAATATTATTTTGTAACACAAGTGCAAGTCACCACATAACTTAGGGCACTTACTATTCACTCTAAAAAATTATATATTGTTCATTCAAAACACAAGCATCTGTCACCCAATAACCCAGGGCCCTTACTGGCTACTCTATTAAATAATAGATTGTTAATTACTAACACAATCAATAATCAACCGATGGCTCGGGGGGGCTTACTGGCCACTCTATTAAATAATAGATTGGTAATTAATAACACAAGCACCTATCACCCAAAAACCTGAGAACTTACTAGCCACTTCATAAGTTAAAAAATTATTATTTTGTAGCACAAGAGCCAATTACCAGATAACCTAGGGTATTTACTGTTTACTCTAATAAATAGTAGATTGTTAATTCAAAACACAAACATCTACAACCCTATACACCAGGGCCCTTCTGTCCACTTAATAAGTTAGAAAATTATTATTTTGTAACATAAACACCAATCACCAGATAACCCAGGACACTTAGTGGTCACCATATTAAATAATAGATTGTTAATTTACAACATAAGTGCCTTTCATCCAATGACCCAGGGCACTTACTGGCCACTTTATAAGTTATAAAATCATTATTTTTTAACACAAGCGCCAATCATTAGAAAACTGGGGCATCTACTGACTACTATTACTTCGTAAATCAAGTGCTTATCACGAAAGGGTGCTTGTAGAAAACTTAATAAATTGCTATAAAAACAATAAATAACACAAGTGCCAATCACCAGGTAACTTTGGGCGGTTACTAGCCACTTGATCAGCTTACGAAGAAATATTTTGTAACACAAATGTTAATTACTAGACAACTTTGGGTAACTACTGACAACTAAATAAATCAATTAAAACCATACATAACATTAGCACCCCAAGTTTTTTGGTGTTTGGCGCTTAAATCATTAATTAACGGCTTATATTTTAAGAAAGTTGCCTAACAGAGATTCAGCCTACCTTATGATTGGGGCTTGAAGGAAGTTATAAGGCGTTCAGTCAGTAGCGTTCACCTGGTGATTCGCGCTTGAATTATTTATTGTTTTATATTAATTAAGTAAGTTTTCTACAAGCACCCTTTAATGATAATCCTTTGAGTTATGGAGGAATAATCAATTACTTTATACAGAAGTCAATAAGCAAGTCGAGTTACTTGTTGATTGGTACTTGTGTTATTTAATGGTATTTTATTGATTAATAAAGTGTCCAATAGGTGTCCGAGGTTTTCCGGTAATTAGCACTGGTGTTAAAAAAAAAGTTTAGAACTTATAAAGTCGCCACTCAGTGCCCCAGGTCATTGAGTGATAGGCACTTGTGTTAATATTTAACAATCTCTTATTTAATAGTGTAACTTGTAAGTGCCCCAAGTCATTGAGTGATAGGTGCTTATGTCATTCATTAACAAACTATTATTTAATAGAGTGGCCAGTACGTGCCCCAGGTCATTAGGTGATAAACGCTTGTATTTTTAATTACCAATCTGTTATTTAATAGTGTAGCCAGCAAGTGCTCCAGGTTATCGGGTGATAGGTGCGGGCATTGTCAATTTAAGAGTTTGGAATGTTCATGCGTCATAGGTACCTTTTTTTTAATTAATGCATGCGTGAATGTTCATAACATCAGGCAACGGGGTTAAATAGTTGATGATAAACTGAGTTATGTGGTTTAAGGCTTTGAGATTTCTTGGCTAAAGATTTAAAGATTTTAGAGCTACCAGTTTATTGGATAAAAGAGCTTAGATTAAAGTTTTTTTATTTCCCTTGGATTCTAGAATTACTTCTAAATTTTGCCCTATTGTATTGAACTGTGCTGCTAACTGTTTAATGCGCTAATTTAGTTTAACTGGGATATCAAGAATAATTCGAAATGCAGCTCTGGTTTCGTCACACTCGGGATCCCTATAAATAGCACATTGTTCCTATTTTCCAATAACATTTCGTCCACAAACCATATTATCAACGTTAGAATCAATAGGCACATTAACGTGTGGCGTCAGGCCCCAGCCGAAGCACCAAGCAGGTTTCGCGCCGCAAGCAGCAGCTCATCCCGCGAGGAGAGTGGTAATGCGCGCGAGAGTGCACCACCTCCCTGCGGCGCCGTCAATGCAGCGCTCACCTTTAGGTAGCGGGCGCTACCTGACTCTCTCGTTCACTCTTGCTTCGACCAGCGACGACAACAGTACGAGCATCGTCCCGATCAGCGACAAAAGTACTGAATACTTTATCCAATTGCTGTATTCAATAAATGTATATTTTGGTACGCATTGTTTCCTCTTTCCACGACCTGGCACTCTACTTCCGTCATCCTCGAGCTCCGGGGAGAGGCTCACTCGTGAAATCCCCAAAAACGTTCATCAATGTGATAGCAGCATAGCTGATGGATGCTGCAGGCATACTAACTGCTGTGAAAGTTGATTCTTAGTGTTGGTTGTTAGTTTATTCACATTATGAGTTTTCTGTTGACTGTTGCTCCTATTCAATTTAATGTTGTCTGATTTAATTTTTGAGTACGAGTTTCACTTCAGGTGCGTATCAGTAAATTGGAGCTGAATGTTTTTGCTAGTGTGTTATTTGTTACAAATAAAGAAAAAAAAAAGTAACAAAATAAAATAAAATACAAATCGATATTCTTCTAATTTAATGTGGTAAGAAAGAGTTCATGGGGTTGTAACAATCAGAGAGCTTCTTAGCTTATTATACAAGGTAAGTTACAGTTGTGTTAATTGCATTCAAGTCAGCATTTAGACGCAAATCATACAAAATTTTATTAAAGTTAGTATTAACAATTCTTATTCTAAGTAACCTGATTAAGATATTTCATTGTATTTGTTTATTCTATTAGAAATTCGGTGACGAAAATTTTGGCAGTCGTAATTTTTCCTTATGAGAATGAATGAAAGACGTACAAGCTAAAAATTAAAAACAATGAGAATTATATCATGAATTCATAAAGATTACTTCTGATTCAGTCAAAATTTTTTTCTTGTATTGACGAAAAATTGAACTTTTTTAGCTCTTTTGGTTTTTGAATGAATGGATGGCTTAATTTATATCTCTTGCTTTTTTTCAGTCTTGTCAGGCTTGTAATAACAGGTTCATTGGTATAGTAAATAATTTTTTGTTGAAGAAATTAACGATAACTATTAATTTAAGTCAGTTAAGTGCTACTAAGTACGTATTTAACTATCTTCAATGTACTACTTGCAAAGATAAATCAAAATCATCCTCTTTTCTGTTCACAAGATGCTTTAAATCAGTCAAAGAAAAAAAGATTAAAGATGATCTGGTACGAAGACTCAGTCGAGATGCAGTTTCTGCAACCACCAAGTACAGAGGTCTACGTAGAACTACTTCAGCTGATGCTCAAGGGCCACTATGAGGCTTTTAAAAGCTTTATACTGCGTGCTATGTCCAAGGAACCAGCTTGGGTAAACCTCAACTACCAAATTCCCTACCCAACAAGTATGAGCTTCCTTGATGTCGCTTCGAGCAATAACTTGGCCAACTTTGTTGAGTTTCTGCTGGATTTAGGTGCTGATCCAAACCTCGTTAATGGTGACCAAAAGCGAGCACCCCTGCACTTTGCAGCTGAGCAGGGCTGCGAAGAAGCACTAGTCTGTCTACTACGCATGCCATGCATTAACCCAAACCTTGAAGTTGCTGGGCTGACAGCCCTGCATTTTGCGGTTAAAGGTGATCACAGAGAATGCGCAAGGTATTTACTCAATGCCAGCGCTAGTCCGAATCTGCCAAACAACCAAGGTGTTACGGCCCTTCATTTGGCCGCTGATAAAGGCACAAGAGAAATGGTCGAGCTTATTGTTAAGCACAGCGAGTTCCTAATCTTGGATGTCTTCAGGTGACAGTTTTTTTTCTTTACAACTTTATTACGTGATAAACATGACATCTCTATGTAACAGTTTTTATAATTAACTTATTTACTACATAGTTAATACAATACTTAATTCGTTAACAAATTGCTAGTTCGACGTGTCATATCAATATATAGTGAGAAGATAAATACTCATGGACTGAATAAATAGTAGATCTATTACATAAGTGTCGCTACTTTTATTTTTAATCATTAATGAAATCTTGCCATTGTTATCTAATTAAATGGCAATGATGCTAATTAGACTAATGCTCCATTTCTCCAATCTACAAAAATATGTCTTTCCACTTTACATAAATTGATAAATGTTTGTTAAAATTACTTATAGACAAATCATGATGATAAATGCTTTTTTGACCACTGAAATATAAATATAGAAAGGCAAAATAAGGAAAAAAACATGTAAAGATTTTGTGTAAATTACACACAAGCCCTTCAAACTCGGCAAAAATTGATTGTTAGTTCTTTTTTCATTACTTACGATCTTCAATTTCGATTAAATTTTCCAGAGAAAACAAATAAATAAGAAAATCTTTTTCATAAAAAAGGACCCCTTTAAAGTAGTCTTGCATAAAACGTTTATTAACAAGATCGCCTTGATATAAAATTCATTGTAAAGAAGACTAAAGAGTAGACGGAGCTATTTCCCAAAAAAAAAAGTTTTTCAAAAAAAATGATATTTTTCATGTAAAAATTATGTTTTCCTAAAATGAAATTTTTTATTCTATAGTATGACAGTATTAGCATTTTCATATAACTTCTTTTAAGTACAGAGCAGAAGGAAGGAGATCGAGGGTCTCATTAAGAATCTGTAAGAATTGCTTCTCACACTTTTGTCAGTATAAGATAAAGTGCCTTGATGTATACAATCAAGTAAGTTTGTATATTTTAACAAGCAAAATTCTGCCAAAGCGTCCAAAACTGTAAGAACTACTTAATCATAAGCACAATGAGTATTCTCGGTAAAGGAAGGTCAAATGGTCATATTTAAGAAAATTTTTTCCATACATTAATTACTTTGTAGAATAAAAAAAATGGAAACTAGGTTATGGATCCAAAAAAGAATTTCTTCCAACACAAGGCCCTAAAAACTCTAGTTCTTATTCTTCAAAGTTTTTTTGCTTTGTAACCGTTATAAATAGTGTAAAAATGTGACAGAATTTGCGAATAATCCACATACGATTAAAAAAAAAAAAAATTTTTTAACTCTATGATGGTAATAAAATAGGAATTTTTACCGTGTTTCAAAATGATTACAAAAATATTAATTTTTTTATCGTGTAGGGCAAAAAAATTTGATTATATTTTATTTTTAAGGATTTTGTCTAGGACTGTACCAGGTCTTAAAATACGGTTATTTTATTTTCTTGCTGTTTTAAAATATTTACCATTTACTTTTTTCGGGCAATCTTAGACTATTTTACCATCAACTTTTTTTTTTCAAAAGACAAATAATATTTTCACCCGTATATGTAATTAAAATTTTTTTTTCTATTTTCAAGATCAAGAATAGTTTTCATGAAAATTTTTAGATTATTTTCAAAAGTGCAACTTCTTTAAATACTTGATTTTAGCGTTATTATTGTTGTTACACGGATTTAAAATTTATTAGGGTTCACATTCCTTATTTATAAGATTTTTTACATAAACTTTTCATTGAAAACCAATTAGGGAGCGTCAAAAATAGCTTAAGAGTGGTAACTATCGTGTACAGCAATGTAGTCTGAACTCCGATTCGCTTAAAAAAAATTTGGAATATTTGGTTTTAATGTCAGGCCCTTTACAAGATTGTCTGACTTCGGCCCATTTGGAACGATTTTTAGTAGCGTGGACTGCCACAGATTGTTGTTTGGTGTAAATAAACAACTGCATAGCCGCCAGCTACTTGTTAATGAATAGTACAGCTATACAATGCTGAAGATTAAGAGGTGACAGGCACGCTAATGTAGTTGTAAATCTCGAAGTCAATAATACTAACTGCCATATCACTCGTTACTCAGTGCTATTAAAGAAGTTTTTGATATCTAGTTGATTTTAAAAATGTGATAATCAAGGAAACTGAAGCTGAAAAAATTAAAAAATCAAACAATCACAAAAATAACGTTGACGCTTGAGAATTCTCACGTGTTGCACTAAAAAAAAGTTACTAAAAACTGCAAAAATTTCAATCAAAATTACTTTTCTTTTTGAAAAAAAAAGATATGGATAATTCATGAGTGCTGGAATCTTGTTTATGTTCAAAAGGAATAAAATAGATTATAAAATATTCTAAAACAATGGGAGCTGGAAAGTAAGAAAATTATGTTTTCAGATTTGGCGTACTCCTAGGAAGAATCTTAAAAAATACAAAATAATCGCATTTGTTTCCGCTCTACAAAATGAAAAAATTAATTTTTTTGTAGTCACTTAAAAACACTGTTAAAATTGCATATTAAAGTAAAATTGATGGTTTTAGTTACATTAACCTCTAGGGTGTCCCAAAAGTTTTTTGTTTTCATAAAGTAATTTGTAGATTATTTGTACATTTTTCACATTTGTTCCACTGTTATAAGACAAGTAAGTGTAGTTTATCAAGCAAGCTCCGTTTATTAAGCAACCCTTTGCAAGCAACTACTTAAAATCGGATAAAGTAAAAACTTTGAGTTTGACGAGGAAACAAGGCAGAGCTCGTATACGAGCTTACGAAGTTGTGAAATGAATTAATTCTGTACTCTTATAGTTTCCTCTGATGCATTATTTTTCGTTTGTGTAACTTTGTCTGCACGTGCTCATCTGAGACGAACAGTTGTCATGGTGTTTAATGAGTCCTAAAAACCCTAGAACATTTGCCGTATGATAACGAGACAATTGAATTAGATCACTATAGAGCTAAGTGTGTCTCGTGTATAATATTGTAAGATACTTCCGTTATATTCGAATATATGATTTAGATATTTAATTATTAAGACAGTGAACGAAGAATATTTTTCATAATCGGTAGAATCTTAAAGGGCCCCTCGCTTGGTATGGCACCTAACGCCCAAGCCACTCTAACTTTTACAAGGTTGCAAGAGTCTAACATGCTTTTTAATACAACCTATATTCATGTAAAATATCTATGACTACAGTTTTCGTGCAGTTTGCTTTGATCACATTTGCTATATTTTATTTTATATCTTAGTATTGCATATATATCCTAATGAAAAATTTCAAAGTTAAAACATCGTTAAATTAACGAACTCATGCTAATTTTAAAGTCACATTAACACTAAATTAATGCTAAGTCAACTCTGAGTCTACGTAGACTCAGTAATTAAAGGAACTCTGGAATTAGTTATAATTTTCGTCATTGATTCAGCGTTTATTGAAGATTGATTAAGCATTCACAATAGGTTGAAGACAGTATGAGTTTGATCAAATAGATATGTTTAGTATATAAATTTAACTTTGATAAAATGTGCAAATTAATTTTATATAATGATTGCATTAGTGTATTGCATAGTTATCAAAACACCAGTTAGAAACTTTTTAGTAACAATCAAAAATTATTTTAGGGTTTTCAATAGGTCTGCTCAAAAACTAAAAAAAAACCAGGGATCAGTGGGTAATTGGGTTCTCAAATATAAAGTGATACTTCTCTGGCAGTTGTTATAAGAATGCACATATACTTTTTATAATATGATGTTTGAAATAATGCACTATGATGTATGTATCAAAGTTGGTACAACTATCGTTGCAACTGAAAACTTTGGTAATAGGATGTGGTTTTAATAAATATTTTTATGTATAATAAATGAGCTATTATGAAGAATTATAAATAAGAAAAGTGCAGAGTATAGTTATAGAACTACGTAGTGCTTAACAGGATAGTGAGAGATTCCTTACATTTGTGAAATCTTTCGATTATTTCAAAACAACTTTCTATGCGCTCACAATATTTCTAACGTCGTGCTCGCACTTGGAACATATGTTTACACATACTTATTTTAAGTTGCATGTATAACAACGATAGATTTATTCATGTCACGCTTGCATCTCGCACAGAGCTCCTGAAACCAACGATAGTATTTGATCGGAGTACTCGAGCAGTTGGTAGGATTTATAAGTGTGGTAATATAAAAAAAACTAGTTCAAACTATTTATAATAAATAGGTTTTGTTAGGTTCAATAATAATTTATGAAATGTCAATATCACAAGGGCAACATACCAAAAGAAATTTTTTTTAAGCTAAACTTTTATAGCCACGTATTAAAAATCTAGTGGTAAGTAAAACCGCTTGATGCAAAAAGTATCCATCTGGTTTTTGATAGCGAGGGAACAGTGTAGAGCAGGGAGCGGGGCACAGGAAGACCAGAGAAAGTAGTGCACATTTGCATCTGAAGTAAAGTGAATGTATGGCGAGGAGAGAGAAAACAAGAGAATGAGAGAGAAGGAGCAAGCGCCCACGTCTATATAGTAGTAGGTACGTAAAAACGAGTATATATATATANTTTTTGGGGCTTGTTTAGTTAGTACAAGTTTTACTAATGATTGTTGAACGATACAAAGAGTAAATAGTATCTGGTCTACTTTTAGATTCTTCGATTTTAAATAGTTAAAGTCAAGTACCTCTTACTAATCCTGAGAGACATGTGATAAGTTGATATTCTCTGCTCACAAAGTACACTTTATTGTGTCTTTTAAATTTAAGACAAAGTCTGATAGTCATCACATTGTTTATCAGCCATCATCATCATTACAATCAATCAAGCATTATAATCATTGAATATATATAGCAGAAATCCAAGGTGCGCGCATGTGTGTGTGTTTGCATGCCCGTAGAGACTTTCTCTATAGGTTGGTTGGTCGTATTTAGTAGCAGATAGTACGTATAGACTCTTGAATTTACACGACTATTTATAAGCCTCATTAAGTGCGATTGAGAGAATGTACATTCTTGCTTCTGCGTTTCGATCTGTTACCAATAGAAGCTGATCGCTTAAAATTA